GTTGAAGTATCTTAGTTCGAACTTAAAGGTACTTACCGCGGGTCCACACGCGGCAGGCAGGCTCCCCCGTCGACTCTGCCTACTCCTCTCGCGGAGCAGGATTACCGGCGTCGACGGCGAGCACTTCCGGGATCGATTTATTGCGTCTAGACAAGACGCGATAAATCGATCCCAGAAGATCGATTGCTTGCCGCCGAACCAGCGGGTAAGTATAGACGTACCCTTTGCCTCAGGAACACCATTTATTTTCAAAAAGTTATTCTTTCTTATTTCTCTTGTTCACGTCCATTTTTTTATTTTAAATTAGGCAACTACTTAACTCCAATTTGTTTTTGGATAGTTAACAGATGCTATACAAAATGAAATCATATGTCAGTCACTGGATTCTTGCAATACTGAAGTACACCCTACATACATTATAGCCAGAGAATTATCCTTAAATATGAAATTTTCTTTTGTGTTACAATTTTAATTTCACTGTAGCATGTGGCAATTTGTTTTTACCTAAACAATAAAAAAATAAATGAATCAGTCTGTAGAACAGAAAAGGGTTTATCCATTAAAAAAAAAAAGTTTTCCTGTACAATCGAGGTTGGAGTTGCAGCAGATCTCTATGATAAAGATTTTGTGCACATCAACAGCACCAATGATTAAAAAAAACATTGGAAGTAAAATTACATCAGTAAGCCAGATGTTCAGATGCACCAGGTGCCTTCTGTACAGGCATCTGCAAGATTCTCCTCCTTCCCTAAATCAACTCTCTAGGCCTTTAAATCCTTACCTGTCATTCCTTTAAGAATAATACAGATCCTGATAATCATTAAAACATACTGTTTGAAAAGTGACGAGTTTCAAAAGATTTAATTAATTACACCAGTGCTTGCCACGAACCTACCAAAAGTCTAACCAGAGTCAACATGCTCCTAATCATGAAGATGCACTTTTTAAGTATCCTATACCCAGGTTTCAAATTTCTGCACTAACCCTCCAAACAATGCCACTGAGCAGCAATACTCAGTAAAATGCTGTGTGTAAATGGCAATGTTAATTTAGCAGCAACTATTTGAAATTTTACTCTATAGAGATAACTCAAATGGTTTACCTGAACAAACGATGTAGGAAAACATTGCAAGACAAGAAAAAGGGGGAATGGGGGGAAGAAGGAAGGGGAGAAAGAGGGGTCCTAATAAGCTGCTGAATCAACCTCTTGCAAAGGTTGAGAGTTTCTCTATTAGGTTAAATAAATTGTGCAATATGAGAGAATGTAACAAACCTCTGAGTAACGTAGATTTTCAAGATTAATCTTTTCTTATATTATTGACTGGATGAAATTGGAAGACCCTGGAAGCCACTTGCCCTAGCTTTTCATCCTGAGATGGTGGCTCAAGGCACTTGAATAATGAATTAGGACTTTGTAGCTCTTTCCTTTGCAAGACACATAAAAGAACAAGTTCAGTTCTCTGCAACACTTTTACCTTAAATATGAATGTTTAGCAGGCTATTCTCTTTCGGAGATATTATTTATGCTATGTCTGTGTTGTGTACATAGTACAACTATGATTTTCTAAATTGGTTAACTGAAACTCTAGGTAAGTGATACTCAGACTGAGGCTCGTGAGCCGCAAGTGGCTCTTTAATGTGCTGAAAAAAAATGCAAAAGACACATGATATTATAACAATCTGTGATTTAATTATTAACCAATTGGGATGCTTTTACTATGTTATTAACCAAGGATAGTTGATAAAATAATAATACTTGGTCAGTCATTGTGCTGTAAGAATAATATATAGACAGATATAGTAAATGAAACAATTCACACTACGGTGGCTCTTTTGGGTAAGGTTGATAGCTAATTTGGCTCTTAGGTCTGAGTATCACTGCTCTATGTTAACTTAAGTTTGGTTAGGTTGTCCAGAGTTACTCTGTCTCAAATCACTATTCTTGCAGAACTCAGACTCTGCAACCTAGTAAGCTCTTGAGGTTTCAGCCTTGTGGAGTATAGCAACTCTACAGAGCAGACAGTAAGCTGCAGTCTCCTTTTACAAAAATGGAAGCAAGCACCTGTGATTGCAAAACAGAGCATGAGCATGATATCACCACCTTCCTGGTATATAATACAGCAAGTATAGGATGGGTCAAAAATCCCTTAATCCATGTAAGAATAAGAGTATTTAAAAAAAAAAAAAGACTGAAGATAGACAAAACTGAAAAGAAATTTTGCTTTGGGCTCTGCAAGGACGTCATTAGTAACACAGATTTTTAAAAATGCTTTTCTATCTAGGTTCTGATACTGTTCCAATCACTGTGGCACCTAAATCACTTCAAACTGTGAAGTATATAACTGATTTCTAAGTGTGTAACACTTTCCATTGCATTGCTAGTATGGTGCTATAATCATTGTTTTACCATGGAGAAGTCACATTTTGTTAAATTTTCTTATAAAAATGCCACCTCAAAGTAGTAGTGTGAATTTTACAATGGATAGTCTCTTTGTATCAAACAACTGCATCAAGGGACAATTCTTACTTTCAGATTCATGATATGGTTGGTTCCCATAACCATCACTATTTTCTTTAGTTTTCTTAGATTCAGAACAAAATAGCTGGTTCTATTTTGTGGTTGAAGCATCTTATTAAAATCTTCAGCAGCAAGATATGTTCCCCATTGTGTTACTTATTTACATTAATAGCTGCCAGAATATATAGCTGTATAAGCAGATAAATTAAATGTGGGTAACAGCTGTCATTCTAAAGACAACAAAACGTTTTTCAAATGAGCAATTTTAATTATTTATTTTATGAATTTAAGAGTTTATTATCTCTGAACTGTTGGAAGGAAGGTTCCAGCTTCTAGCCACTGCCCTGGCAACCTAAGTTCCAGAGGTATATTTTGAAGGGGAACAAATATGATTTACAGTACTGAACATCTCATTAAAACTGACTAGATATTTGGTACAATCCCATTCAGATTTAATCAACTGTCAAATTTGTCCCTTTGGTTTTTGCACTGTACAGCAATATATTTAGCTCTCAGGCTGCTAAGGACGCCCATATACACCTTTTACATCACACCTTTTTGGCTGGCAAAATGAAGGCAGCCTTGATTTTCCAACACACTTGTGTCAGCAGTTCTCTTCTCCGTTTCCTCCTCATTTATTCTGTCAAGGGAGAAAGATACACTGCTCTACTGCAGATACTGCAATCTGCTTTGCACTTAGATTTAGGTACTTCATGACAGGTTGCATAGCTAAGAGAATCTGTGGCAATTTAACTGTTTTTAATGAAGATGCTTTGCTGAAGACCACCGAATTATAGGATGTGAGCAATCTCAGAAATGTCTAAGTCTACAATGAAATGACAGGAATACTATGAAAAATTAGATACAGTAGTATTAAATTAATTAGCTCTCATATAATGGAATAATTTACTAAATATAAACATACTGGTTTAGAAGACTTACGGTCTAAGTGTTAACATTGGGCAATTTGATCCATAAAGATAGAAAAATATATGGAAGTCATAAAAATAGAGGCCTTTCTAAATTCTAAGCACCAAAATAAAAAAAAAACAAATATTGAATAGTTACAATGACTTTGAAACCAACCTAATAACTACCAAAAAGACAAGAAAAGTAAAGGTGTTAAAAAAATAGGGCACAGAAGATGGTTTCTCTTAGTGCACAGTAAGCTTCAATGGATTTGATTTTTGGCATATTTGTAGAACGTGAATTAAGTTTAGAGAATGACCTACAAAGGTAGAAAGTGTGATAGTGAGAACATTTGATACATACACTGCAGTGTCAAAATCTAATATAATCTGCAAAAGATTTCTAAGAGGAAAAAAATTAGACAGTCATGCCAAAACAAAGAAAAATATATACAGGAAATAGATGTGTATCTGTACTTTTGTTTTCCAAAGGTAATTCCTGCATGTGACAGATTGGAGCGGTCTACAGCATTACGTTTGACAAACATTAATCTGCCTCACCACTATGTGAGAGACAAGGTGGGTGAGAGACAAGGTAATATCTTTTTATTGGACCTACTTCTGTTGGTGGGAGAGAAGTTTTTGAGCTTACACAGTTCTTTTTTATATGTTGAGCTTAGTATTTTAAGCTGTCCTGCACCAGCTACACATTTCTTTTAGATCAGATACTGTACTTCTCGGCATATAAGATAACGTTTAATCTCTTCATGAAGCAGAACTTGAAAGCATTTCAGATTCCTCCTTGCTTTACACAAGACTCATTTACAGGAGTACAAAGTAACTTTACAGCCGCAGATGCCAAGAATGGGTATTTGTATCTAAGCGCAGCTTAGACTCCTTGTACACTTGAAAAAATTTAAATCATGCCACCTCGTTGGCATTTATTGGAAAGCCTATTAAAGTACCTTCCCTATCTCTAGCTACAAGAGAGAAAATAAAATTTTCACATAACCCCAAGCACTGGATTTAGGCACAGAATTGCGAACCACACATTTTTTCTACGTAGAAGTGAGGAAGATAGTGGCACATACACCCAAAGGCAACAAAGTTAGATTTTTAATAATTATGCCAGTTTCCCCTGCTATCTACCCCAGTGAAGTCTGAATTAGAAACAGTTAGGTTCCTATATGTAGATTAAAGTGCCTGTGTTTAGCATCTCCAACTCACATTGAAGCCAAGATTGTGCATGTACACAACTTCTGAAAACTAAGCCACTTTAAAGAATCCCTAAATTTAGGCTCACATTTATTGCATTTACGTGGCCCACCAGACTTTCATATTTTCCGAATATAAACTGAGAGTCCAGATAAAGCAACCACATGTAAAAGCCACTGACCCCATGTAAAATTGTAATTTGTCCCTTTGTCGAATAAGCGTGATGCTCCGGGCCTAACTACTTCATCTGAAAATTAGTACGTACAATGCGTGCTGTGCTTTTGAACATGTAGTGAAGTTGCTTGACCATCATCATTCCTCCACTCCTATAAGAGTACACTGAACTTCTAAACACTAACCTTCGAGGATGATTGGCATCAAACAATGTTGTATCATCATCATCATCATCTTGTTCTAATGGAGTCAACTCCATATTTTCTATGTTGGTGTCCAAAACTCCATACCTTCGGGTCTTTTTGTTTCTTTTTCTGAGGCTGAAATAGAATGTTTTTAAAGTTTTAATCTTCAAAATTGCTGAAACAGAAAGTTATAACTGAGATTACTGTATTAAAGAGCAACAAGGAGTCCGGTGGCACCTTAAAGACTAACAGATTTATTTGGGCATAAGCTTTCGTAGGTAAAAAACTTCACTTCTTCAGATGCATTGTATTAAAGAGAACAGTTTTAGTTCCTTAAATTATAGATCTGTATATAAATTCTTCATATTTGCATGTTATTTAATATATGCTAATCATTTAAAATATTTTCTTTATCTCAATGGAGTAAAAGCGAAATATCAAAGAGTAACAGTCCCCTGAGAGCCAAGTTCTCAAAACAGGAAGCCTAAAATGGCACAAAAATATGTATAAAATTGTGCACCTACATTTTTGTGAATAATTACTGTAACAGTGGATCAAAGATAGGTAGTCGCAGACCCACATGTTTTTTGAGGCACCTACCTAGCTATGTGCAAATGCCATCCATGATTTGTAGTAATTTCAGGGCAGGTCTACACTATGGCAGGGATTGATGCTCTAAGATCAATCCACTGGCGGTCGATTTAGTGGGTCTAATAAAGACCCGCCAAATCTACTGCAGATCGCTTTCCAGTCAACCCCTGTACTCTACCTCCAACGAGAAGAGTAAGATAAGTCAACGGGAGATTTTCTTCCATCGACCCCCCGCGGTGTAGACACCCCATGGTAACTCAACCTATGGTATGTCGACTCCAGCTACACATATTATTCACGTAGCTGGAGTTGCGTAGCGTAGGTCAACTTACGCGGTTGTGTAGACATAGCCATACATACAAATGTAAGTATGCAATTAAGTATGGACCTCTGGTTCTGAAAACTCTCTCTAAACTGGTAATAATGGTCAAAGTGGAAAATCCTGTTAATCTTTACGTCACATGCTGTACACTTCTATGCTGAAGAACAGATGCACAACGCAGAGACAAGATGTCTGACCAAAAAAAGGGTCTAATGAAATCGTATCTTTAAAAAAAAAAAAATGCAAAATGAGCAGAACTGTGGATGCTGTAGTGTTTTCACTCACTATCTGCAACTAGACTAGTAGTAAAGATTTAAAATTTTTATTAAAGTTAATGTTTAAAATTAAATATACACAAGTTAAGAGGGAAGGTACTGTACATCTGGGGTCCGTCTTGAGTTATGAGGGATTACATATCACATAACCAGCATAGACCCAGATTGGGAAGCGGGGTTTTTTAAAGTGTCAGTGGATAAGTGGGCTCGGGTACGCCACCCATGGAATGTATAAAGAGTCCAAGTCAGTATCAGTGTTGCGAATAAGTACATGGGTGGGGTGCATCCCTTGGCTCATCAGGGAAGGAAGTGGGTTATTTCCCTGGTCGGTGTTCTTGAGTACTCAACGTAGTATTGATGGTGTCCCGTGATGTGTTCCGTATAGATGTCCCTGGACCACCTGACGGTGCCGGACACCATGAGCTGTCTCATGAGCCGGGCGTAGTGTCGCTCGACTCCACACGCTCTCAGTACCGGCCCATTGTGGGGGTCCCACGAGCCCAGGGCTCCCATGATCAGGGCGTGTATCTGGACTACTACAACTCTTATTAGGCAACTATTTGTTACAGAGCCAAACTATCACTATTACTAAGCTAAATGCCAGACAAAAGCACGTAGCTGAACACCTGCAAAGTATAGCAATCTATTCTTTATGGCAGTATTTCCCAAACTGCTGGAAGGGGCGCGGGCCGAGGGACGTACTGGCCGCTGCTTCCAGCGGCTCCCATTGGCCTGGAGCAGTGAACCGCGGCCAGTGGGAGCCGCAACTGGCCGAACCTGCAGATGGGGCAGGTAAACAAACCAGCCCAGCCCGCCAGGGGCTTTCCCTACACAAGAGGCGTCCCAAGTTTGGGAAACACTGCTTTATAGAAATAAGGACTCATGATCAGATACTTTATATCAATGGCATCATTCAGATTATTCCAGTTTGCATTACAAGTCCCTTTTTCTAGGAGTTTAGCACATTAGGGTAAACATACATTTCAGACTGAAACTTTAAACAAGTAATAAAACAAATAAACTGTTCAGTCAAAGTTCATGTTGAGGGATGGCAAGATGACAAGACTGTCCATGAAGACTACTGGTCCCATATCCAGGAAACAGGATCCTACCTCTGAACACCAACACCTGCTACTTGGCTATTTGTTCTTTTTGTTTGTCTGTCATACTCAGCCCTACATCTCTGTTTTAAAGGAGGACTTTCTGTATTTAGGAGGAACAACAACAGGCAGCAAGGCTGATGTGGTACACATTTTGAGGCACTCGCACACATGGGAAAAAGGAATTAAGTCAGTTATACTGAAATAAAGTCAAGAAATTGACAAGACTTATGCCTATCATCATGTCAAAATAGTTTGTGTTTTGATCCTTCTCTCACATTACCTATTTAGGCTGTGGTCCTGCAAAAATTTACATGTGCTTAATTTTATGCACATGAATAGGCTCATTTAACTTAGCGGGGGGACCACTCATCTACCTAAGTGAAGATCCCCCCTGCACAAGTCTTTGCAGGATCGGGACCTTCAACAGTGAGCTGTTTGGAGCATGGTACACATCTCTACTGTTCTGTGAGATGCTGGATTCATAAATAATAATGCTGTAAAAGAACTGCAATTTTTGATGACTTTTTCTATTTTTAACTCCAATAAGGACTTCCTTTTTTTTAAAAAAACTATTATTTGATAGGCATTTAGTCCTCATTGTTACATATTGTCCCCCTTTCCAAAAAGTACCAAGTAAATTGGTAGAAACAGTTATAGAACACCAGGATCAACATGTGATCAAACAGACAAAGAAAATTGTGCCTCTCAAATCCATTATTAGTATCTGTACTGCAGTAGCACCTATAAGACCCAGGACACACACAAACCATTCTTCTTCTGAAGGGTTTACAAATTAGTCTACCGGAATTTTTTGAGAAGGTCAATAAAACAGTGGATAAAGGAGAAGTGGTTGATACAATTTATTTGTGGTTTTAAAATGCTTCCAACAAAGTTCCTTCTAAAAATCTATTAGGGAAACTAACTATTCATGGGTAGAGCCCTTTGTAGATACAAAATTTTTAATCCACAGATATAAACTGGATATCCGCGGAGCTGCAGGGCTCTACCGGGAACCTTAGTGGCAAAAGCAGCAGCATGTTGGGCCACCACTCACAGGAGCCAGAGCCTCGCGTGGGCAGCTACTCCAGTGTGGCTGTACCGTCCTGCCCACTGGGGTGGGCACCAAATTCATTGGCAGCTGTCCCTGGTTGCACTACTGTATGCAAGCAGCTCACACACTTCCGGACAAGAGTCCCTTCCATGCAGTGGTGTGTGTCTCCTTTCCAGGGGTGTGCAAGCCGCTTGAATGGTGAATGGTCATTATTAGGAGATGAAATTCAGTCTTACTAAACACTAGGTAATACATACTGGAAGGGAAAAAAATTAAGTACTCATGCACATTGTTGGGTTGCAAGTTAACTGTGATCACTCAGGGGGAAAAAAAACCAGGATAAAATCCTGGCTTCACTGAAGTAGACAACAAAACACTCACTGATTTAATGGGGTCAAGATTTTACCACTGGACATTACTGTGGATAGTGCAATATGCACCACTGGTCAAATAAGTAAGCAAGAGGATAAAATTATAAAAGAACGGGATAGTATAACATTTTTAGTATCATTTTTCTATCATATAAGTAAATGGACCTCATCTTTAATACCATGATTAGCTCTCATCACCCTGCCTCAAAGTAGATATAACACAAGTAGAAGGGGATCAAGTATTAGTGACAAAGGATTAGATATATGGAAAGACTGACATACGAGACACTGAAAATACTGGGACCGTTAAGTTTAGGGAGGAGCTAAAAGAGAGAATATGGCAAAAGTATATAACAATGAATGGCATACAGAAGGTAAGTTGGGAGTTTCTATTTACCCTTTTCAAATACAAGTTAGCATCCAATGTAAAGACATTTAAAACTGAAAAGGTTGTTTGTATTTTTTAAAAAGAAACAATGTATATTCAGCCTGTGGAAGTCACCATCCCAAGACACTGAGGCCAACATAGAGTACAAAAAAGGATTAGACTTCACATGGGTGACAACAACTTCTATAGTTACATGAGGAATTTTTTTTTTTTTTTTAGAAAACACCACACACAACTACTGAAAGAACAACATGTCAATATCACATATTAAAGAGTTTAGGCTATGAGCCTAGTACTGTTTTGCTAGGAGAGACATACCTTGTTCAAACAATTAGACAGCTTGGCCAAGAGTCTTACACCCTCTTTCACCCCTGTCCACTAAGTCAAGAGGCTGCAGGAGCATAAATGGGCTCTGAAAAATCCTGATCCAACTGGAGAGAATTCACTTGGGGTAGAAACTGAAGATAACATGTTGGTGGCAGGGCTGCAGCACTGGGACTGAGTAGCGCTGCTGCCCATACCATGAGCAACCGGAAACAGGTTGATATAGGTTAGGCAGTCTGTCAAGAATGTACAAGTTACATCAGGGCTGTTTTGCTCACATAGCAATCCTGAACTGGGTGGGCACAAAGGTGGCTTGAGGCCCCCTTAGAGCTTGGCTACACTTGCAAGTTAGAGCGCATTAAAGCAGCCCCGGGAGCCCTAACTCCTGAGGTGTCCACACTGGCAAGGCATGTAGAGCGCCTGGACTCTGCAGCTAGAGCGCTCCTAGTAATCCACCTCCACAAGAAGCATAAAGCTTGCTGCACCCCAGCTGAAATGCCTGGGTGTTAGTGTGGACGACGTGTTGCATTACCATGCTGTGGCTGGCCTTCGGAAACATTCCATAATCCCCTGACGTCAAGTGGCCACTCTTCTCATTGTTTTGAAATTGGCTGCAGGCACGCGGATATCCCCTTTCAAAGCTCTGTTTCTGACAGCCGGCATGCTTATCTGCTCCGGGACAAAGCAAACCATTAGTATGGAATGCTGCT